CATATGGAAATATTTACTGGATAGAAATGGAAAACATGGACATATATCCCCCAGGATGAAATCTGAATGTGTTTTGGGAACAGGTTAGCAACTTACTTTCATGAAACTTTCATCACATTTGTTCTTGAATGGGAAGGCTGAAGGTGACACTTTGTTTAGTATTTTAATAATAAAAGTTTTATGATTATTTCTGGTACTGAAGTGATACACTGTTTATTGTAGGTACTGAAAAGTTAACTGCTGTAGTATAGATTTATTTTTAGGTCAAGTTTGGAAAGAAAGTAAATGGTCACAGCTTTCTGGGAAGCACATTAGGGCTTTATTCTATATCTCTGACTGAGGGAATATATATATTGTAGTATGTCCTTAACATGTAAGAGGCCTCTAACCAAAATTAAGTGGCACGTGAAACTTGATGCATCTTAAACTTCAAGGAGAGACCAAAGGTTCCAGTGTGCTGGGACTCTGCTAGGCTTGAGGCTAAAGGAAATGGGAAAACGGGAAAGAAGAAATCAAAGGCAATTGAATAACCTCACATCATGTAAGGAACAAAAACCCCACAGATTTTTAAAAATTAGAGAGATAAAAAAGCCACCTTTAGTGCCTAAAAATAACCCTCTGTAAGGGCCTTCAATGCCTGTCTTTTGTACTCTGCACAAGGGAAGCCTAAGGATTTTATCAACCCAGGAAGTAGGGAACAGATAGTGCTGCAGATTCACAACTTACATTTTCATTTATATTATATCATACATATATATCATATATAAAACATGCAATATATTATACTGTATTATATTTCATATCATATGTATTGTATTGTATTCAGAAGCTCCTACACACACAGATACATGAACCCTCCACCAATTTTAACAGCTACTTTCTCACTCCAGTCAGGGTGCTGGACTGCCTTTATCTTTTTGAGAGCACTTAAATATTTTACTCTTCCAGGAAGAAAGAAACCTTAAATATACCCCATATTTAGTTATTAGCCTACCTATAACATTTGTGTCTTTTAATGTCAAGGCTGTTAAGTGAAATTAAATGGTGTCATTTAAGGCTAAAGTATAGCAGACTGCCACTAGATAATCATCAATTCTCAGAAAACTAGCAGAAAAGGTGATTTCAGGTCTCAGGAAAGAAGTTATGCTTTAAGTGACTTATAAGCCAGACTCATGAGCATAAATTAGCCTGCAGAACTGTGTCCTAAAAGCTTCTTCCAAAATTACCCAAGATACAGGGAAAGCAGTTGCTGTGCCTCCTGCACTGGCCTTCTCCCTTCAGCTGTGCTGCCCTCTGCCCAGCTCTCATTCAACTACTCTGCAGCTTCTACTTTAATGGGCCGTTGTTAAGATGACCTCAGCTCCCCTGGCTGGTTTCCTTAAACACAAGATCCACTGGGCAGATTTAGCAGTGGGTGTTCCCATCCCTCCCGTGTTCTAACATCATGCTTTATGTGGGAGAGAAAAAAACCACCTTTTTCCTCATCCCTGCTGAGACACCTTGGACCACAGCATAGCCAGCTTTATTTATTAACATTTGACTTAGTAGAAAAAAAATACTTAAATAATCATGACATGAATTAGAGTATTCACAGACATGCTAGAGATGTGGCCAAAGCCTTCAAATCATGTTTCACACCTCTGTGGCTTCTCAAACATGAAAACCCAAACAGTAACAGAATACTCCTGTAAACCTCAGTTCACCTTGATCAGCAAAGTACTTGTCTCAAAGTCCATGGACACCACCTTTCATTTTGTTCCTACAGGTAGAATTCAATTTCAGACAGGTAAAAAAAGGTGCCAGGTTGCACACATCTTACTTCTTGTTTCAGGTACATAAAAGAGCCCAACACAGTTTAGTAACAGTTTTTCTACCAATCACTTGGCAGGTTCTTAGAAGATCACAACTCACTCAGTAATTACCCTGTTTCCCCATCATTTTCCTGCTGTATCATTACAGAAAACATTTGCTAGTCCCAGATTACTGAAATTCCAACTTGTTACAGGGTAATACATCATTTCTCTTCTCACGTTAAAAGACATCTGCTTTAAAAGCACCACACAGGAGCACAGCATGTTAAATATGCAAAGCAAGAGTCTAAAGTCACTCTTCCCCCCCAGGTAAGACTTATCCTATAAGAAAACAAAGGTTTTCATATTACAGTCACACTGGAGAGTAAAATTAATTATGAACAGAAATGAAAGCTGGGCCAGAGAGAATCTGTTCTACACTTTAATGTGACATGATTCCTCCTCTTGGTGGGGAGGTGGTGTCAGGCAGCAATCTCCTCTCTAAGAAAAGAGCTGAAGGAAACGTGAAACCACCTTTACAGGCCTGAGATTCATTTAGTGGAATGGCGAAGCTACCTTAAATGCCTGCAGGACGTCTGCCACTTGTCTAATTCAGAACAGGTTTCACGGTAATTGTAGCAATTTAGAAGGCAAAAGACAGCAGAAACAGTGGTCCCCGGTCCTAATCCCTATTTTCACATCAAGTATACATCCATCACTTTACCAATTAGATGCTAATTAGATGCCTGACAAATTTTGCTGTTAGCAAGCTGTCAAACCTCAGCAAACTTTGGCTTCCTTAAAAAGTCAAGCAGCTGAGACCTTGCTGCCTGATACACACACTGTTCTTTATACAGTCTAACAATCCAGCACATTTAAAAGACCTCAGAAAAGGCAAAGAGGAAGATGTGCATCGGTCTCCAACATGAAGGCTCACACGTAGCCTGCAATTACCAAAATCCCACTCAGAATGCAAAACCCAGACATTCCACACTGCAGTACCAGCCCCCTCTGCAGTGCTGTTCTTCCTGCGGAATGGCAGCCTCTGGACTTGCGCTTGGATGAGAGAGAAACAAAACACCAACAAATCCCTACTACAGACGTTTACTGAGTGCACGTCATATGGGTTGAATTTCCTGCAATACTAACTTGATTAGAAATCTTGACCCTATCCCTTACAAGGTGAATTCGAGCTCTTAATTATTCCTGTTTTTCTACTGCTAATGAAATGGAATGGTGTCATTAGCGAGGCTTGTCAGCTACACTTATGTGCAAAGACATGATCTGACTCTGCTTTTGTAACCTAACCCTTGCAGGAAAACCAGTCGGAACGTCACTCAAGCAGTGTAAATAAAAATCTTTGAAGACAAAGGAGACAGATGGCAACACTCTCAAGGAACACCATCTAAAATATTCATAGCTCGAGAGAAGAACACGATTAAACCTGTGAACAATCGACTTGCGCTTGGATGAGAGAGAAACAAAACACCAACAAATCCCTACTACAGACGTTTACTGAGTGCACGTCATATGGGTTGAATTTCCTGCAATACTAACTTGATTAGAAATCTTGACCCTATCCCTTACAAGGTGAATTCGAGCTCTTAATTATTCCTGTTTTTCTACTGCTAATGAAATGGAATGGTGTCATTAGCGAGGCTTGTCAGCTACACTTATGTGCAAAGACATGATCTGACTCTGCTTTTGTAACCTAACCCTTGCAGGAAAACCAGTCGGAACGTCACTCAAGCAGTGTAAATAAAAATCTTTGAAGACAAAGGAGACAGATGGCAACACTCTCAAGGAACACCATCTAAAATATTCATAGCTCGAGAGAAGAACACGATTAAACCTGTGAACAATCAATACATTTGAATCTTGCAAGGAAAAAAAAAAAAAAACACCCAAATATTTTCTGCTGATGAAATGAAGAAAAAGATCTCTAGGGATACTAATTTTTGCTGAAGACTTGCTGTGTTCTTCAGTGAAACTATCCATGGCCCTTTCTGGCAGCACCCAGAGAAATGAATGTGATCTACATGCAGTTTTGTTGCAAGGCTCCATCATCACCCCATCAGTGCCAGGTACAAAGCAGCAAAAACATTGCAGGCAAGCTTATAAACTGCAAGACTTAGCTATTAGTGCAATTACACAAGAAAAAACCTCACCCATCCCTCCCTTTCCCTCTCCCATTTTAAGTACACTTCCAGACTGTTAAAGTGTCACATATGATGCTTAATAGCTTCCTTTGGTAAGAGTTAATTGGAAACAAATGTTATCAGAGATGCATGAAGCTACTACAAACTATTGCTGAAAAGACAACTACAGCAAGAGACAAAAACAGTGAGATGTACTAAAGACTTGAAATCAAAAGGAAACAAATCAAAATGATACACAAAACGAGGGGAAAATGCTATAGTACAGAAACTGCTGTCTGTCTCTTCAAAACAAGAGCTGCCATGAAGACAATGTATAGTTACCTGCATCCATATCTGCAAAGAATGGAACAGCCAGTAAGGAAAAGAAGGAACCAGAAATTCAGTGTCTCAGAGTTGGATTTAAAAGTTCATAAGGAGAATAGATAAAAAACCAAAAAAGTATTTAGTGCAAGACACACCTCTACAAAGTACTACGATATTTTTGATTTCAAGCTACAAACTTGAATTAATGTTAAACACTACAACACTTTCAGGTATAAATTAGCTTTCTATGGCATACGAACATTAAAAAAAACAAACCCAGAACTTCAAGACTAGAGATTTAATATATTAAGCAAGGAACAAGTTAGATCTTTACTTGTGAAATTTTTTTTCCTGCAAACACCACAAACCGAAGGGCCCAATTCTGCAGAAAACTAGTAGGAGATACAGGTTTTGTATCTTTGTTGAAAGCCACTTGTGTGACTTTCAACAGCCAAATGGAAAGCAGCAGCACCAGGGAGAGCAGTGAACTTTTCTCAACACAGGAAGAGAAGTTTCCCATAGGGACAAATAATGGGTGCCAAAGTATTTAAGGGTGCTAAGTAGTTGTGGAAAAGCTGCAGTCATACCCATTGTATCTATTTGTCTCAGTCTGGAGAAGGAAAAAATCTCCACAATCACTGAAATAGCAAATCAGATTCTTCACTGATTCATTTCTGCATGACTAAAAATTAATACAGATGTAGTTTGTGGGGCAGAAATAATCAGTGAAATTTGCACTTGCACATACCTTCAGGTGACTCCTCCTGGACATACGTGCCGGTCAGATAGCGGTGCACAAGAGCTGACTTGCCACTTGCTAGGTTACCCACAATCCCCTGGGAAAAAAAGAAAAAAAGGAAAAAAGTCAAATTCTCATCAACCCCCACCAAAAAATCCAATATATCAAAGCAAAATCTTAACACAGAAACAGCTTCTGTGCACCTGAGGGGAAAGCCCACACAATAAAACCCCTCCAAAATATGCCGAGATGAAAGTATCTGCCAAAAAACTCAGTTAGGAGTGTTCCTTTAGTCATCTCACCACTGCTGCTAAGGGGGAACATCAGCCTAGATAAAGGCTTGAGGGAAGAAGCCTGGAGCTCAGAGCAAACTCCTCACCTCTTTACTAAAAACCAATAAATCATCACTAAATTCTCTGGCTGGAAAGCGTCTCCGCAGGCTGTCCACCACGTGGTTCGCGTTGACTCACTACTCAAGTGCACAGATGGTGTATATGGGCACAGACAGGTCTTGGTAGGTCAGCTAGGACTCATTGAAGCCCCTTAGTGTACCCACTTCACAACTCAAGCTGCCCAAGCCCAAGCATCTGCAGCACTGGGAACATCTGGCCAAACAGAAGAACAACATCTCCAGGCACGCACAATGTCTCTGTCAGGCTGCTTAGCTAGTGCTGGTTTCCAACAACCCAGGCAGAAGAAGCAAACTACAGCCCAACACCAAGGCAGCTTTCTTCCCAGAGGTGCTCAAATGGCAAAAACTCAGAGATTGGCCTTTTTTGTTGCTGTAAGAGGGGCGTGAGGGAGTTAGGAGGCCTGCAGACATGACCCCCGCTGCACCAAACAGGCCACCCCTGCCAAGCCACAGCCACGTGCTGCTGGCCAACTGAAGTCCTGCCCCTTGGGCCTGGCCATCAACCAACAACAGACTGACAGATGCAGTGAGCAAGGTCCAGGCCTGGCTGCCTGCCCTGCTCTGCACAGGCCACGGGACAGCAGGGTTTCCAGAATATACCTTCGCTACGTTTTCACTAAAGCTTTTTTTCTTGCCCAGTTGCCATCTCCTTATCCAGATCTCCCCTTGAACACAGCTCTGAGGACACTGTGCTTCCTTGGGTTTTGTGGGAGGAGATGGGAACTTATTTTGCCCTTTAAACAAACCTAAGGCTGCTCTGTTCTTACATGTTTATCTTGACCCTAACCAAAAGGCTCAGAACATAAGGTCCCTGGAGAGATGAACTTTGCTGATCTGCCTGAGTTTGCCAAATGGACAAATTTGCAGCAGGAACAAGTCACATGTTTATGCACGTTATTTACTCCCTCTTCCTAATCCTAACTGGTGAGGAACTAGCCTCCTTACCAAAAATTACTTGAACCGACTCAGTTCTGTCAACTTAAACTAAGCCAACGACAGTTTTAGGGATGGGGGAACAAATTATTTGTTCTTTACAACCCAGAGCAACTTTCAATGAAGACAAGGACACCAGTGCTACAAGGGATGCTGTGCCAGACCAGCTCAGGCAAAGCAGCACCTCCAGCAGACAGCAAATGCAAGGCAGAATCACATCTCCAGCCCCTACAAAACCACAGGCCTTGAGTGTCACAAACAATGTGGGCTAGAGTGGAGGGCCAAGGAAAAATCAGAATTGGGGATGTGCAGGGCTGAAAAGGTGGGGAAGATCCCAGGCTGGCCTAATACTACAAGGAGTTTCACCCTCCACTTTTTCAGGTTAGCAGGAAAGAACTTGGACAGAGAACAGTTCATAGTAGCGGTAGCGAGAGCGGTAGCGAGAGCGGTAGCGAGAGCGGTAGCGAGAGCGGTAACGAGAGCGGTAACGAGAGTGGTAACGAGAGTGGTAACAAGAGTGGTAACAAGAGTGGTAACAAGAGTAGTAACAATAACAATAATAGACATAAAAAGAAATACAAACCAACAAACCCAGTGCAGGCATAGCTGTTACCAGCCAGCAGTCACACACAAATAAAAAAGAAGCCACAGCTTGAGTGGTCAGACACACATCTGTTTATTGTCTTTGCAGAGCCTTTGAAGAGTGTTTGGACCAGTGCACCATCCTGGAATCCAGCAGAATCTGTCCAGTGCCCAGTGCAGTGCCTAGCCTTCCTGCTCCCACTCTCTGCCCACCAGTAACAACTGAAAACCAGGAGCAAGAAACTTCACACTGAAAAAAATCTGTCACCTAATACAATTACTCTCTAAATCAGGACTCATACTTAAGGATGATGCTCTACAGGGTGACAAATATGCCTGTGTGTTTTCAGAGCAGTCATACTCCTGTCTCCCATATTTTACACACAGTCTGAGTCATTGCTATTTATTTATGAAATGCAAGAAATCATGACAAGCATGTTACGGAACAAGAATACCACCCTAACCCAGTTCAGAAATGAAAAAATGAAGCTAACAAGGATGCAACACAATGCTCTGTCGGTGACAACTTGTACAACAGTGAGTCACCCATTTGCATGTGCCAGGCATGCTGTAAGAAACATAATCCTGACCTCTATGCCCACATCCTACTGAAGCCTGCTTGTAAAAATCAGCAACACACTGATGGTATTCAGCATTTTAAAGCTATCCACCAGCACAGAAGCTTGACTGTGCTTTGAGAATTTCTTTGGAACAAGTGAAATTATTTCGTTCCAAAAGGTCTCGTATTTATTCTGTCCAACAGTGTCTTAATTTACACCCAGATAAGCAGGACATAGGAATACCACCACTGCTCCAGAAAGGCACTGGTTGGTCTCACGCAGCTGGTCTAACAAAGCTGGTTCATGCAGCTGAACAAGTTGAAATTTACTAAAACATAAACAGAACTTTGAAGCATTATTATAAAAATAGAAGATACGGAAACTTAAGGATAGTCTTGTTGAAAAAAAAATGCTTTACTTGTTAAAATAGTTTCCTGTATTTTTCCCCCCAACAATAGATTTCATAGAACGACTGACCAGTTTGGGTTTGAGGGACCTCAAAGCTCATCCAGTCCCAACCCCCTGCATGGGCAGGGACACCTCCCACCAGCCCAGGCTGCTCCAAGCCCCATCCAACCTGCCCTTCAACACTGCCAGGGATGGGGCAGCCACAGCTTCCCTGGGCAACCTGGGCCAGGCTCTCACCACCCTCACAGCAAAGAACTTCCTCCTAATGTCTCACCTAAATCTCCCCTCTTCCAGTTTAAAGCCATTTAATGAAGCTTAGAAATGTTCACCTGTGCATTAACATTTTCAGAGACAGAAGTAAACAAACTCACCACTTTCAGTTCGGGCACGGATCGGCTTAGTGTCCATTCCTGGCTATTTACAAAGGCATCTGTAAAAAATGGACAACATTCACAGAATCAGTACAGTAACATTTAACCATGTGCCTCACAGAATTGCATGCTCAGGATTTTGGTATGTGAGACCAAAAGTCATGCTCAGTCTCCTAAGACTGACAAGCCCAACATGAAAACATGAACAACTTGGATAAACTACACAAAAGCTCCAGAAGAGCAGAAATGAACATTCTGCAGAATTGGTTGACTCTCTGCAGCAAGTCTTGCTGTATCATCTCCACTGGCATTAAGAAGCTCAAACTAACTCTAGTCCTTCAGGGCTCTGAAAAGACTCTCCCAGCCCATACACGGCTAAACTGCCCTCCATCACCACAATACCTACAAGAAAAGCCCTGGATGGCTCATCATGTCAACAACTGCAGCTGCCACCACCAGTAGTAACCGCTTCACCCAAGTAACCTGTTCTGAAACCATGCTTTTTTACTATACATCATACTTAAGGTCAACACTGCAACTACCAGTGTCAGTTTAACATTAAATAAAAACTACTGGAAGCAGGAAGGAGCTCATTTCTGGAAAATGGTGAGTGAAGCTCATTGTTGCTAATAATGGAAAGAAAGCTGTTAGAGCTGCAGGGGGGTCCAACCTCACTGACAATTCTACACACACGAAAAAGGAAAATAAGGCTCTATTTTTCTACTTCTAATAACATTTATCATTTTGTTCCTTCTGTAAAGGTCTGTTCAACTGAAAGCAAACACAGAAGCATGTTTCTACCACAAATGCAAGCAGCATTCCTCCAAACCCTGATGCCACCTCTCCCAGCCCACGCCGACCAGATGAATGGCAGCCTGGTGCAGAATGCTCCCACCAAGCAGAGCAGTTGCAATCCCACAGTAACTAACCAGCACTGCAGAGGTCCTGGCCGTAAACCAATTCCCATTGTTAAAGGAAGTAACAGGTGAAAAAGTTAGGCCTGACCACTGCCACTAAGTAAGCAAAGGTTTTGTAAGCCATCACTTCACCCCTGATCTGGCAGGATGGAGAAGACGGTTCTTTCACTTTAGCTTTTCATTCAGGGAATGAAACAGTTGGAAGCAATTTAACACCCCAGATGGTATCCTCACTAACTGAAGAAACTGTCAGCTGTAAGAAAGCTTTCCCACTGCCTAGCTCAAAACAATCTCAAAGCAAACTTGTATGGTGACTGTGCATCTCTTTCCCACTAACTGTATTTCTTTTGCTCTATATTAGAGGGACACATTAGCCATGACTTTGGAAGCCTTCTCTATCTTTATTTATCACATCACTTAACATTCCAGCTACAAAGAAGCTTGTGTGTACTGGCAGCACGTGTGTTTACATGAACACACTCTGGAAAAACAAGTATTTTGGTGTATCACAGTTTGAGCTGCCTCCCACTCACTGAGTGGAAGGAGAAGGAAAACCAGACTTAGATTAAGATGTTCTAAAGACTTGGGTTGACTTTTGAGTATTCCAGCTGCAAGAGAAGACATTACGGTCATAAGGCGTGGAGTCCAGTGTGATAAAACCTGAAGTCCCAGGTTTATGTCTACAGTGGATGGGGCTGTACAAGCCTTCTGTGCTAGCCAGGCCTGGCTAGGGCACAGCACACATCATTTTCCTGCAGCTCAGTGCTTGTCAATTCTGGTTTACCTAGTAAAGGTTTAAGAAAGCAAATACTGCTTTCAAGTCTTTTTCCCCTCCATGATTGCATCAGCATCTCTTATCATAGAAGGAAACCCAAGGATTTCTAAATATGCTTGGGAAAAGCAAATGAAGCACTTCAGCGTTAAACATTCTAATTTTAATTAACAGGTAACAACCATGGCAGCATCCTTCCACTACAGCACTGACCAGTAGATGATACTTAGTAAAGATCAGGAGGCACTTGTAGAATAATATATTGTTCCTGTGGATCACTCAGGTTCAGTGACTGCCCAAGACAAAGCTGTCCTCCCATTCCACAGGTGGGGACCCAGGATTCACCCAGGGTCGAGACACTTCCAGCCAGAAGACAGCCAGGAAACCAGGAACATGTCAAAACTGAAGACTCAAACCAGGACTCAAGGAAATTTTCTGCAGCATCCTAAGCCAAAAGTGAACTTGAGATGCAGACAAAGCAGCAGCAAGATTTCAATCAGGAACAGCATGGATCAGACCGGCTCTAGAAGCTTTATGACTAAGTCTCTTGAAAGGGACTGCAATTCAGTCTAGATGTTTTCCTACCTTCCTCTGGGAAGGAAGATTTTCCTTTACAATGTACAGTGGAAAATACTGCATCAGAAGAGTGTGGACACAAGTGCTCAAACTGAGCCCTTAGGCTCCCCTCCTGCAGCCAGCTGAGCTTTCAGCTGTGGTTGTGACTGTCCCATCCCAGGTGTCAGAGCTTCTAGGACAGCCCCTGGAAAGCCTGCAGAGCACTGAAACAGCAGGGATCAAAATGCCACCTCCAGAAACCTGCTATAGCCTTTAGCAGCAAGCAAATCCTTTTTTAACTTGCCCTTACAGTGAACTACCAGTTCTCATGGTTTTGCAGTGGAAAAGGAGAACAAATTGCAATTCATCCCAACCGTGTTATGAAAGAATTGACCATATAGAAAGGCAAAAAAACCCAAAGAGTTCCTGTCCACACAGACCTATATCTTCAGGGCAAAGTGTAGAGGTTTCTCAAATGACAGTTCCATAACTTAACCTACTTTTTTTCATCACTTCTGGAACCATAACAAAGATTCACAGTTATTTCAAATGCATGAAAATATCAAAGTGCTGATTTAGCCATTACTCCCTCCCTGGTAAAGATATCAAACAATTGGCACCTATCAATCTGATGCTTCAGATTACCACTTTTTTCTTCTCTAAACAGAACTGATTAGCTAGCCTATAACTACACCAATTATTCCAACAGTCTCTGTATCACAGCAAGATTACAGCAGAGCTAGCAAGTAAAGCCCACACCCTACCATACAAAAACTCTTTGTTATCAGATCAAGAACAACTTCTCCCGTTAAGTCCGATTGCATGAAACAGTCTTGCTCAAGTGTTAATTACATGTAACTGCACAACAGACCGAAGGTACCTACATTCCTCTTCATAACCTGAAGTACCACTTACAGAATCACCCAACTGTTTTGGTTGGAAAAGACCTTTCAGACCATCAAGCCCAACCATTACCCCAGCACTGCCACGGCCACCACTAACCCACGTCCCTCAGCACCACATCTACATGGCTTTGAAATCCCTCCAGGGATGCAGACTCCACCACTGCCCTGGGCAGCCTGTTTTGTACCAAAACACTTTTTCCTGACATAATTAATTCCAGAACGATGCATTAGCATAGTTTGATGATACGTTTTGTGTAGCATGATTTGAACATGCCTGCTTTGCCTTTCCCCACATCTGTACATGCATTATTCCTTCATCACGCTCTGCAAAAGATGGATAATTGGATAAAAAGGAAAGTTGCTATTTCATCTGCAAGTCCCAGCAGCAGGAAGAACTAGCCAAGGCTGCAAAATACAAGGAAGTTTCATAGATCTGTACATTTCAGAAGCATAAATTAGGTAGGAGAAGCAATGAAAGGTAAATTTCCAAGTAGCCAAGAGGCCAAAAGACAAAGCGGAAAGACAGAAGCACAAGGATATGGACTTACTTTCTCTGCTTGGTTCTTCCTTCATGGAAAGGCAACAAGAACCCACCCAATGACCTTCCAAAATAAACTGTGAGACATCAAGTACTCTCAATATGGGAAACACACACCATTTAAATTCTGATTTGCTACAGGGCAAAATAAAACCAGTCACACTAACCTGAGAAGGTGCTGGATTTCTTGACAAAGCTGCTCTCTCCTTTTTGTTAAGTACCTGGTTACTACTACACATTTTGAGTGTGAAAAATACTCAAGAATCTTTGATATGCAATTTTATTACAAAAATATCCATTTTAAAAAAGCTTGACCTCCACCCAACTAATTTAAAGTAAGTTTTTACAACACTACTAACTTCAACTGTCAATTTAACTACAGAAGGTCTCCCACTGCCCTTTTAAAAAAAACCTGAACTTTTATTAGTTCTATGAGGTCATCTTCCCTCCCCATCATAATTTACACTGGAATGTTTACAAATAATAACAACAGTTAAAAACCTGTTAGAAAACAGCAAGTGCTTTTCTAGCAAAAAGAGGCTAATGTACCATCATTTCGATGGATGTTGAAGTACCCAGCTAATCAATTTACTCCTAGTACAAACATCTCTGAAAGGAATGATTTATTCCAAGTTAATCCCAAGACCCACGGAAGTTAAGGTGAAAAGGCCAAATACTTGCAGACAGAACATGACACAGGTCATCTTCCCTCCCCATCATAATTTACACTGGAATGTTTACAAATAATAACAACAGTTAAAAACCTGTTAGAAAACAGCAAGTGCTTTTCTAGCAAAAAGAGGCTAATGTACCATCATTTCGATGGATGTTGAAGTACCCAGCTAATCAATTTACTCCTAGTACAAACATCTCTGAAAGGAATGATTTATTCCAAGTTAATCCCAAGACCCACGGAAGTTAAGGTGAAAAGGCCAAATACTTGCAGACAGAACATGACACATAAGCTTGGAGATTTGCTTTTTTTTTTTTTTTTTTTTTTTTTAAATAAAAGTCCCCTAACTTATAGCTACAGCTATAAAACATGGGATGCATCAAACTGCAGCATGCAAAACCCAGACTGGGGAGTCCACAAACACACTCTCCTGAAGAAACAAAAATCCCACTACCACATGTTGATCTAAACATGTTGGAAGAGATTTGCATATTAAACAGAGCCACATGTATGAAGCTGGAGCCTTGTTTGCATTACTTTCCGTCTTTGGAATTCAAGTGAACTCAACCTTCACATCTAACTACAGACCATACATATGAAAGGAATAGCCTTTGTCAATAATTAATCACAGTTGCATGTCCTGTTAATTTAACTTCTGCATCAATGATCAAAAGCTTCAAATACGCATGGTGT